TCTTCTGCCTCTGTTAGGTCCCTGACATTTTGGTCCTTTATCATGCCCATCTTTGCCTGAAATGTTCCCTTCAAATCGCTAATTTTCTTGAGGAGATCTCTGGTCCTCCCTATTCTATTGTTTTCTTCTGTTTCTTTGCACTGTTCATTTAAGAAGGCATTCTTATCTCTTCTTGCTATTCTCTGGAATTCTGCATTCAATTGTTTGTATATTTCTCTTTCTCCCTTGCCTTTCACTTCCCTTCTTTCCTCAGCTATTTGTAAAGCTTCCTCAGACAGCCATTTTACTTTCTTGCATTTCTTTTTCTTTGGGATTGTTTTAGTTGCTGCCTCTTGTACAATGTTGTGAACCTCTATCCATAGTTTTTCAGGCACTCTGTCTATCAGATCTAATCCCTTAAATCTATTTGTCACCTCTACTGTATATTCATCAGGGATATGATTTAGGTCATACCTGAGTGGCCTAGTGCTTTTCCCTACTTTCTTCAACTTAAGCCTAAATTTAGCAGCCAGAAGCTCATGATCTGAGCCACAGTCAGCTCCTGGTTTAGTTTTACTGACTGTATAGAGCTTCTTCCTCTTTGGCTGCAGAGTACACAGTCAATCTGATTTCTTTGTTGACCGTCTGGTGATGTCCATGTGTAGAGTCATCTCTTGGGTTGTTGGAAAAGAGTGTTTGCTATGACCATCGTATTCTCTTGACAAAATTCTACCAGCCTGTGCCCTGCTTCATTTTGTACTCCAAGGCCAAACTTGCCTGTTATTCCAGTTATCTTTTGGCTTCCTACTTTAGCATTCCAATCCCCTATGATAATAAGGACATCATTTTTTGGAGTTAATTCTAGAAGGTGTTGTAGGCCTTCATAGAACTGGTCAACTTCAGCCTCTTCAGCACCAGTGGTTGGGGCATAGACTTGGACTATTGTGATGTTGAATGGTTTGCCTTGGATTCGAACTGAGATCATTCTGTCATTTTGGAGATTGTATCGCAGTACTGTTTTTCCTACTCTTTTATTGACTATGAAGGCTACTCCACTTCTTCTGAGGGATTCTTGCCCGCAGTAGTATACCTGATGGTCATCTGAATTAAATTCACCCATTCCTGTCCATTTTAGTTCACTGATTCCTAAGATGTCATCTCTTGTTTGACCACATCCGGCTTGCCTTGATTCATGGATCTTACATTCCAGGTTCCTACGGAGTATAGATCTTTGCAGCATCGGACTTTCCTTTCACCACCAGATACATCAGCAACTGAGTGTCCTTTCGGCTTTGATCCGGTCGCTTCATTCTTTCTGGCGCTACTAGTACTAGCCCTCTGCTCTTCCCCAGTAGCATATTAGACACCTTCCGACCTGAGGGGCTCATCTTCCAGCGTCATATCTTTTTGCCTTTTGGTACTGTCCATGGGGTTTTCATGGCAAAGATACTGGAGTGGATTGGCATTTCCTTCTCCAGTGGATCACGTTTTGTCAGAGCTCTCTGCTATGACCTGTCCGTCTTGGGTGGCCCTGCACAGCATAGCTCATAGCTTCATTGAGCTACACAAGCCCCTTTGCCACGACAAGGCAGCGATCCATGAAGGAGAATAATAATAGTAGTATTACACTAAATTTGTATACTGCCATTCACCCCAGAAAGGTATCTGGGTGATCAGTGTTCGTTTGTTTTTTGTTTGTTTTTGTTTTACAAAAAATAACTCAGAACAAAAGTGTTTTGTCAAAAACAAAACAGCAGAAAATATCAGCTGAGGTATCTAAAAACAAAATGGACAGTGGTACAGAATTCTGAGTTTCCTTTACAAGTGACCTCTAGTGATCCAACCCCCTCCTCACAAGAGTGGGCTAACTAGACTTTTTCCTCCCCAACTCCCACTCATGAAAGGATTAATCAGCTGCTCCTATTGGCTGTTACTTAGTCAAAGATGAAAAGGTCTGCAGTTCTACATCTTCCATAAGCCAACATTTATCAACTCTCTGCCCACTCCCCTAGTCATTCCAGCTGCCCTATCCCTTCCCTGTTGCTTCATCTGTTGCAAATTAGGAGAATTCTAACTGTTCCTTCATCCTCTAAACACACCCTTGGCTCCTGTCATTCACCACACATCTGCAGTGTGTTGCAAAGGTGTTCATATGGAAACTTCTAATACAGTAGCAAGTTTTCTCTGGTGTGTCAGTAGAACAGTCCTGCTAGCTTACAAGCAGTACAGGCTTCACTTTGCTATCTAGCAGGGATAGGCTATGTTCCAGAAGAGACTATAGTATTATTAGCACTTCTTTCTCCACATCAACACAGGTTTCCTATATAAGTGGAAGAGTTAAGTTACTCCTAACCCTTATATGAACAATAAGATGAAGAACACAACCAAGAAGGTAAGCCATAGGGAAGTCCTGATGCTGTTTCGTACTAGTAAAAAACCACCAACTTTTTCCATCCTGCAACTCTGTTAGAAATGACACCACATCATGCCATGGCACTATCCGGGGGACCACTGTGGAGAAGACATGACTACTGGGTTATTTATTCCTTTACTACATTTCTCTGCTGTCCGGTAGCTGAGGCTGTTCAGGTGATTCACAGCAATTGAGTCCATAACACACAACAGGTTGCTGTATAAATTTTAAGACAAGAGTATAAAATAGAGGTAAAAAGCAAAGCAAAAGCTAGCAGTAGTGCAAAGATTTAAAATACTGTGACAGGTTTAGGGAGAAAAAAGCAGACTAAAATGCTTGGGAAGTTATGGTCTTATACTGGAGCTGGAAAGAGTATAGTGTAAATGCCAGGCAAACTTTTCTGTGAAGCTCATTCCACAGCCAGGGAGCCATGGAAAAGGCCCTCATCTAATTGCCACTTACCGACCTTCCTTTGATGAGGGCTCCTAGGAAGGACCACTGAAGATGATCCTAGGGTCCAAGCATTTATATATGAAAGGAGACAGTTCTTCAGGTAACTTTGTCTTGCACCAAAAACATGGCCCTCTGCCAGGGGCAGCCGTTAAATATATGTAGTGGGAGAGGAAAGGGTGAAATGACCCTCCCAGCAGTCTTCACCCCAAACTGTTTGAAGAAGTACTACCACTGTGGCAAAAGGGGTGGGGGATGACCAGGGAAGCCTCAGTGGCTGGTACTGTTCTTCTGATCAGTTCTCTGTCCTTCTGAAGATGTCATTTTTTCTTCTTTTGTAGTTCACAAGTGGGCCTAGGAAATGGGAGGGCATCTTTGGCCTGTTGTTAGTTGGAGCAAGTTCCTGGCACCTAATGATCTGTCCATGGTCCTGCAAGCCTTCCTTCTGTCTCTCTGGTTTCTTCTGAGCTGTGGACATATACACAGGCTGAGACAGTCAATATATTGCAGTCATCCAGCACATTTCAATACTGGACTGGTTTGGCTTATGCTACCAGCCCAGTGGCCCGGAAAGGTGAGAGGAACAAAGACAACTAAGACTGACAGTTTGAACTAGAGTTAGTTTCTTTGGTTGGCTCTTTGGCCAATTCATTTGTGATGCAAAGAACCTTTTCAGAACAGCCCTCTAAATTTTATGTCCATTTTAACCCTCAGAAATGAAGATGAAATAAAAGAGATGAAGGGTATTGTTATAAGGAGAGCCAGTGTGGTTATAAGAATACAGGACTGGGACTCAGGCAATCTGCATTCTGGTCCCCACTTAGCCATGGAGCCAACATGGCTGGTCACAGATACTCAGCCGAACCTACCTCACAGGGTTGTTGTTGTGGAAATAAGATTGAGAGCAGAATGATATAAATCACCTTGCGTTCTTTAAAAAAAGGAGGGATATAAATCTAATAAATTTATTCATCATCATCACATTTCTATACCTCCCCACAGCTAAAGCTCTCAGGGCTGAAACCTCAATCATGGGCAATCCGGTACACCTTAAAAAAATTTAAAGACATCTCAAAGATCTCCCCAAAGAGGAAAATAGGGACAAACCAGGGAGAATAATGTAGGTCAGGTATGGAAGGTAAGAGTATCCCTGGGAAACAAGGTCAGTTAGGCCAATTGTTTGTGGCACTGGTGGAGATGGATTGTAAGAGTGATGGTGGTTATTCAGAGCTGGTTAAATATTATCCTTCTTAACAGCATGTTGTGAATTATTGCAACTTGCTAGCACACCATGATTAAAATCGGGGTATGCAACTGCAGAAGGGCTGGTTGCTATTTTAGGCTCTAGAATTCAACAGAAAACTACTTCATAGTGTTCAGTAGTACTAAAAAGGTTAAATTCAACCCTTTACATGCTCTGTAGTTGCTCAGGAGCACGAAAATAGACAAAATAAGCTTGCAAAAAGAACAATCCAGTTTGCTATTGCATGCCACTTTGTTAATTTTTTTAAAAATGGGTATCCTGGTGGAAGGTTGTCTTATGGGCTGCATGTTGACCACCCCAATCTAATTCTAATGTACTTTAATTTTACAGATATTTACCTCAAAAAGTACACAGATTCAAAGCAGTCTGTCATAGCTTTTAAAAATCCAAATTTAACATTTTTAGACAATAACATGATTGACTTTCTGAACAATTAAACTTCTTGGGACATGCTTTAAGAAAGTCTGTTATATAGAATATTATTTTCCCTTTTACTATCTTACAAATGTGTGATCCTGTGTAACATGAAGGGATTTCTTTGTTGGGTAGAAATGACAAATGCCCTTATTTATCCCCACTGCTTTTGTTGTATAGTTTGTTGTTTTAGTTATATTTATATATGTTTTGCAGTTTTCTAATTATGAGATATAATATGCATGGCAGGTAGTATAGAGATACAGTTCAGTTGAATAAATGAATCCTGTGCCTGTATTTAAAATGCTGACTGCAAGAAAAGCAGCATCATGGTTGGAATTAGAAACCTTTATAGTAAAATGGTACTTTGTGTGTATATATAATATTTATCTATCTATTGATAAAACAGCAACTAAAGTCTCATTTTTAAAGGTCCTGGAGCTTTGCACTAAACAATTCTGACTTGACTTTTCATAACAGACCATGCAGCAAATGAGCGACCATCGCTATGACAAGCTCACAGTTCCTGATGATGCTGCAGCAAACTGTTTATACTTAAACATTCCTGGCAAGGGCCATATTTTGTTGCACCGGGCCCCCGAAGAATATCCAGAAAGTGCAAAGGTAAAAGCTAAAGTCCCTGTAAGGTACTATTAATTGTGCAGTGCAAGGAGAAGAACGTATTTTAATCCAATCTCCAAATATGATTCAAGGGTTTGTTCGTTGGTTTTCAAAGATTGTTTCTATGCATGAAGGAGAAAAAATGTGTGAGGCATGTAGCATAACAGTGGGATTGTGTACATGGGGTTGGTAAGAATGTTTGTTTGGTAGACTTTAAGATCTAGTGTCTTGAGTACTCCGCTGGTCTGAGTAAAGGCACTAAAGCTGCCATTTCCATGAATGTGAACAAAATTTATTCCTGCTTATATCATGTGCATAGTCGCAGAAGGCCAGAATACAATTTCTTGCTCCTTAGTAGTTTCTTATAGCTCCTTAAAGCTTTCATAAGCCCCTGCCCTTTACCTGAGGTAAGGGATTTACAGCACAGGCCGAGACATTTGCTACTATTAATCATATTATTGGTCCATTAAATTACTTGGAAGACTGATGCTGATACATAACAGTGTTTGTTATCACCTGATTTGTGTTAGTCCTTCCTCAGACATCAAGAGGGAGAGGGATTTCCAAGTCGTAGAAGTGGCAGGGGATAGGTAAATCTGAGACTATGCCAATTTGTTTTACTACGGCAGAATGAATAAGCAGCATTTTTTTCACCAGATCATGCACTTTAGGTTACAGGCATCAAAGTTGCCTTTGAGGTAGCACAGTCCAGCAGCTCTGTTATATAGAAGTAATGTAAACCTCCTAATAGTCTTGTCACTGATATGCATTGGAGCTCCTGCCAGGGTCAAAAATGCAGTTGGAAACAGATTCCGTGTGTCCCAAGTTCACTTTCTGACAGTTCAACAAAGAGCAAGGTCATATTTCATCCAGGAGACATGGGCCAATGCACTTAACAGTGGCCTGTAGCTAAAATAAGAGTAAGGCCTGGCACCATGATATACTAGAGGGCATAGTCATGAAGGTTTGGGTGTATAGTTGGACATCTCTCAAAGCTTACTGTGGGACACACACACACACACACACACACACTTTTGTATTCTGCTTACAGTGGATATTATTCACATGAGGAAGTCATGCTCGAAAGTGCCTTGCAGTGTGGATGTGATGTTATGGCAACTCACAAAAGTTGATTTTGGGGCATATTCTTTGGGATGTCCCAAAGCTTAGTTTGGGGATGTGTCTCCAAGTTCTTTATCCAGTTTTTAGTATAATGAGGATTATTGGCTAGGCAGTCCCATTCCTGATTGTGTCTTGTGTCCCTACAAAACTTTGTGCTGGGTGTGAGTCTCACAGAGAGCATTCTCCCTCATATTTGAATATATGCTTTGCGGTGAGTGACTTTTTTATATACATAGTCTGGCTTAGTTTGGGGTGAATGACTTTTTTTATTTACATAGTCTGGCTATAATTGGCTTGTTAGCAGTGCTGTTAATAATGACTGCTGCTAAAAGTATTGGGCCAGAAACTATGCACTGATAATTCATAGAGGACATAGACCTCCATGTGTGAGTTACCACACAAAACACTCTGGGTCTTGAATACCATTCCACCCACCCCACAGTGCTGCCTTAAGTAGGTCTCTTCCCCTTAGTGCATGGCAAAGCCAGCCCTGCATATCTTTTATATAGGTGGCGAGTACATAAAAAGTCTTGCGATTGCTGATGTCTATACCCATTTTCCATCTCTTTGGATACAGTGTCTGCTAAAAATCACATTCAGTATTATTCATCACATATGGTAAGTATTTTTGTCTTGGCTCATGGCCGCAAAGACAGAATAATAACACATTTGTCAATCTTCTCCCCCCCCCCCACCCCCAGAGTATTGCTTCCTGGGATCTATATCAAAAAATATTTAAAATGGGTCAGTGGATAAATGTGCCAAGGTTTGTGCTTTCAACCCAAAGTGTTCAATTTTAGGCTTAGCTGTTCCACTACTATTTGCAACCTCTTACTGAAATGTTTTAGAAACCAGTGCTGGGGAAGTAAAAAGATTCATAAATATAACACACTGTTTTCTTTTCTTTTCTTCCTAAATAGGTCTTTGAAAAACTGAAGGACCACATGTTGATCCCTATAGCTAACACAGAGCTAGAAAAAGTAGATGGGGCACTCACTTGTTGTTCTGTCCTTATTAATAAAATGTCACACTTATGAGTTTACAGACTCCCTCCCTTGTAACTGGCAATAACGTACATGCAAGGTAGATGAATCTGTATCCACTTTTATTGGTTTTCTTGACAATCTACTGTACCACTGTGCTACTAACCTTTGTTTACAATGGTGCCCCTTCAGATGGTGATTCAGGTGCACATATATGCTTTTTTCTGATGTAAAAGAACTTTCAGCAAGTTTGTCTGGGCTTACAGAGGATCATCAAGCTGATTAGTGGTTGGTGTGAAATTGGTCTAGGAGCCAGAAGTAGGGACCACTTCTAAGATTACTTTTGATTGCCACAAATCTTAAGACCAATGTCTACTTATCTCTTGACACTGATTAAAAGCACATTCATTTTGTTCATGTTTCATTCCCAGGACAAGCCTTAGCCCAGAGTTCCCAAATATGAGGCAAGCAGGTTTCCTTAAGGGCATAAGGTCATTGCCAGAGAAGTTGTGACTTTTATTAAGCCTCCTGCACAAACCCTGTGAAGGTGTTGGTGTCCGGTGAAATGGCAATGATCCACATCCTCCTGCACAGTATAACACAGGTGCTAGGATACAATGGTGCAACGCTTGTTGTTGCTGATACTACCGGTAGCTACTTCATAGGAACTTCCTACTGCGCCCCTTCTTTCACGTTGCTCTGTCTTCTTTCCACCCCAGTATTTATGACCAAAGCAGTCAATCAATTATTTTTATTTTTTTAAAAAAACAAAGCAAAGTCAAACAACCAAGGGAGGCTTCATATTGGAGAACAGGAATGGAAAATGAAAATGCCTCTTTTCCTGTAACACTTTCCCTGCTCAAAATACCTCACTAAGCTACATCTTTACCTGATAGTATTGTGACTTTTGCTGGTAAAAATGAAGCTTAGGGAGGAGTTAAGTGGAAAGTTATTCTAGAAGAAAACTAGAATAAGCAACTCCTCCCCTGCTACTCATTCTTCCATTCCTATTCGATATTGTCTACAGTTGTTTCTCATTTACTAAAAGTGGTGGTGGGGTTGGGATAGGAAACCACATGTACCTGCATGAAAACTTCTGGTTAGCTTTCAGACCTGGCCAAAGCTGGAAGAAAAGGGCTCAGGTAATGCCCATGCCTTCAGCAGGAGACAATACTGTGGTAAAATTGATTTCATGTCTTTGTACTGGGCTGTTATATTCAGGTGACCTCTGGTTCTTTCTCTTCTTCTTTGGGGATTGGTCACTGTAACAGAGTTGGATTAGGTTGGTTGTTTTTGTACTTTTTAATGCATTTGCTGATAAAATTTACTTAGGGAGTCTTCATACATGAAGCTTATATTGCTTTTCTTCAATGAGTTTATAACTGCATTGATCAAATTGCTTCTATTCTACCTGTTCTTCTACTTTAAGAACAAGTGGACATTCATGTAAATAGCAGCAGAAAGACTCAAAGTCAAAAGCTTCACATATGAAAATGTAACAAAATGAATTTGAATAACCAACATTGGCCCTAAAATCTGTTTTTCTGCATGAGAATGACCAGTCCCAGTTTTAAGCATCTCTGTCCGTTTTCTTTTTTGTACTAAAACATGCTTTATTTTGGTTACACATTTCTTTTTCCTCCTCTACTTCCTGCTTTGCATTCCACTCTTCTCTTTCTCTCCTCCAGAGGTCCAAGTTAATAGGTAACCAAAACAGAAATTCAGAATCTGGGATTTTACATAACCATACTTACAGTTCCACCTGCCATGCAAAATGCATTGCATTCATTATCCCACAGTACCAGATTGCTGCTTGTGCCTTGGAAGGTGCATTTGAAGAGAACTGTAGTGAACAGAATTGATTACAAGCAGCCAGTGACACACATGGGGTAAAGTGTGATGCTGTAGAGGAGAATTTTATTCTGGCAGCCTTGAATGAAAGCAAGGGTTTTCACCCTGCTATAAGTCTTTTCTGGATGCTGGTCTGTTTGCCATTTTTATCCAGTAAAAATTCAGATAGTTCATAAACAAGGTATATTACATTAATCGTCTGAGAAAAATCCACATGATTATGTAAATCTCAGAGTTGATGAACTGATACCTGTATAGCTGGTCTTATGTATCTCGTCATTATTTCGCTGACATTAATCTTAATGGGTTTAATTTTTGGCTGTTTTTTATTCTTGTTTTATCTGCAGCACTCTTTTTTCTCTAAAGCCAATGCTGAACTCCCTGGAAAAGGTTGATAGTGAAGAAGAGATAGTGTGAGATCTAGTTATTTTGTTTTTCCTGTGGTGTATTCTGCTGAATAAGGGAGAGGGTTGACTTTCAGCAGTCTGCCATTTAGGTTTTTATGCCTAAAATTATAGCTATCTTGAATGATTTTTTAAAAGAAAATTTCAATTGTGTTGATGTTTACTGTAGCATTTATTTGAAAGAATATTTGTTCTGACAAATTCTGCAACACACGTAAGGCCTTAGTCATATGTTTTCCACCACATGTGCAAAAAGAATAGACCATTGGTATTCTCATGAAACCTGTTACACCATTGCAAACAATGGAGAACTTATCTAATTAGTGTTAGGAACTCTTCAAGGGCTGACATACCATCTAAGTATCTTATCATCTTCCTGGTTAAGACCACCGTTGCCTGGTGCTTCTAACTAGTGATTGAGGTGCATTATCAAGAAGCCCAACTAGCCACGTAAGTAGGAAAGGAAAATACAGCCGAACTATTTCATGGAATATAGAGGCAGCACAGTGCCTTCCCAGTGTTTTGGATTACATCACCCATAATATTGGTCATGGTCATGCTGACTTTGGCTCATGGGAATTGTAGTCCAATATCTGAAGGGCATAATTGCCTATCCTGATATAGGAAATTCAATAAATGTAAGTGGGAAATATAATTTGTACTATTCTGTTGCCCTTTACCAGGATTAATTGTACTTAAAAGCTCTCTGAATAATGATGCTCCTATCATTTCTGTCCTTCAATTAGAAGTTATTCCCCCAGGGTGAAAGACAATCTGTTTTCCTGACAGGTGCCTATACTGTTCCACTAAGTCAGAAGATTTAATTTGCATGATACTGACATGCTGAAATAAAGAAGCATTCATAGAAATTAACTTGAAGGGGGAAAGTGTTGATGTAGTTTGGATTTAATATGGAAGTGAAGGCTTGGTTTCACCCTGTGGAAGTAAATTTATAGGAGCAAATAACAGGGGAAGCATAACAGTGATTTGGTGGCAATATTTGCCTGCAAAATAATAAATAATAATGGCTATGTAAACTAACCCTTCAACTCTCCAGCTAAAACACAAACCCCATAGCCTAAAGGACAGAAAGGCAGCTCTGTTGTTGCTTCTTTAATCCTTGCCATAAGGAGGCATGCTAAGTCTGCTTCAATTGACTCCTTGTTGCTGCACTGAAGTCTAAACATTCCTGCAAAAGGGTTTCTCTGTTTGATACTTCCTGGTGTCTCTGCTGCCTAACTATATAAAGCTCTATTATCAGTATACTACCTATATACTTCCAATGATATAAAGGCTTTCTGACTAAAACCTTGTAAATTGTGTCTGTCATCAGCTGCTACATTGTTTTTATGGTACCTGCATATGGCTTGTTGTACCAAAGCAGAAATATTCATGATAAGTTGGTGGTACAAACTTTGGATCTCTGATTAGAGGCTTTTTACAGTGCAGTCCTACTTACTGAGTCCCATTGAATTCAGTGGGTCTTGCTTCCAGTAGAATGGCAGCCTTGCTCAGTAACTTATTTTATTAATGAAATTCCATACCACTCTTCAAAATCAGTTTCCAGGGTAGTTTCTAGGGTTGTTAGCATTCCTGATTTTTTCCCCATGATGGTTCTGGAAATCACTATCATGAATCAAGAACCACTTCCTTTATAGCAGGGCTTTTTCTGAATTTGAATAGTGAGTGTATACAGAAGAAAATACTCCTTGAAGTCTTGATATATGCACACTTAATATACTTAGCACACTTGTACTTCCCTACTATTGGCTTGAGTTTATTAAACCTTTCTGTCCTTACAACATGGGCCTAATCATGGGGCAGAATCAGTTTATAGTTCATGTTTGTAGCATAGCAAAGTTTTATCTGAAGTTGGAACTAGACTCTACAGGGAGCTGGATACTAGGACTGCTTCAAAGTTTCTGCCTAAATCAGCAGTCCTACTCTGTAATAGTTAAAGATTTGTGGTATAACATCATCACAGTGATTATCCTGAGATATTACCTGGCCAGAGAAGACCAAGACAAGCAGCTGCCCCAAATTTATCAAATCTTGGCCTCTAGGTATGGAACTGCTACCTAAACCACAAAGTGCTTGGCACTGACACCAAAGACCAGTTACGCACTGATACAGTAAAGCCTTTCTCAAGCTGGACGTTTGAATAATCCATTATATACAATAACCCTTCATTTAAAAATAAAAAAATTAGCACATCATCAAGAGGGATTTGCCATAGCCTTCTTTCTTGACATGGAGTAAAAGTGCTTATGCAGAGTGGTTTTATGTGTGGAGGATTTAAAAATGCAGCCCCCTTTTCTCCAAATTCCCTGAAAAGGTTTGCTGCTGGATTGCACTGGTAGCATAAATTGGCCTTGAATCTACTGGCATCTAAACTGGATTCTCTAGCACTACCCAGTTCTGAACTGCCTGAATGAAGAGCCACACTTAGCACCGGAGTCCTCCACAAGTGAACCTAGTTCACGTTACCCTTCTTATTGTTCATGTTCAGAGCAGGACACTCTTTGTCCTGAACTTTGGTAATTACAAAGTTGGAAGCCCTAGGTAAGTCATCCTATTGCAGCCCTAGCTTCTTGGGTTGTTTTGCTTCTTTTGGAGGATGAAGAAAGTGATGCAATCCATGGGTTTCCTTGCTGGACAAAATGTGATCAGTGTCAGCTAAGGTTCCATTTCTTGTGCCAGTGAGAAACTTGTATACATGCTGTACCTTATGTTGCTACAATTGAGGTTTTTCCACACCCACCCACACCACAGAGTATACACTTAGTTAAACATTGCACAGATGCCATGATTTAAAAATCAAATGTGGATTTTTAAGGACATGCAGAACACAAGAGTCCCCATGAGATGGGACCATAGCTTATGTGGAACACCATGTTCAAGTTAGTAGAGAACTAACAAAATTGCCCCCCTCTCCTCCTCTATTGACTCAAATTCTGGTGCAATCTAGACACTTAAACATAAGCCGGGCAGAATTCTCAGGAGCTGGTACATATCCATACAGGAGAGAGGCTGTTTTTTTCAAGAGTATATTTCATGTAGTAGTAGCTGTGAACAAAATATCAGGGACCTCACTTGAACTCCCAGAAAGCCTGCTAGTGGACGCCTGATGATGTAACTTGTATGAAGTAGCATGTGAATCATGTATATTGTGTTGCTCTGCAGAACACAGATATGACTACTAAATCACCTCAGTACTAGAATCTTGTCTTTGACAGAACTTTATTATAATAGAGTGTATTGTTGCCCACTTTTTTGTGCCAAAACATTAATGCATTCCATAGTCAGTTAACACTGGAAAAAATTGCTCTGGTCTTTCATTTTGTTTTGTCTTTCACAGTTTCAGTACTGTATGTACCCCAATCACTATGGAATAAAGTGTCAGTTGTACCTGAACTGTGCGTGTTTTCATTCTGGCAGATGGCTTGAATTTTTTCCCTTTGGGTGTTTGCAGAAGTCTGCATTTTTGGTAAATGTTATTTTTCTAATCATATATCATATTTAAAGAACGGGGTTTTAATACCAACATTGCATTTAACAGATTGTTGGACTTAGTCTAGGCAAGCTGTAATTGATATGAAAAGTTACTCATGAAGTAACTCTCATTGGTTGCAGTAGCAACTGGGAGTAATTCACCCACAGAACAATCCTAAGGGGTGGGATTGGGTTGGAAAAGCAAAGTGGCTGATGAGCTACTACTTCCAAAGCCCCACTGGTTCACTGTGACCAATATGGAGTTAGGAAAAGGGGCTTTTTTCTATGTTGTTTCTTCCAGCAATTAGTTTTTTAAACACACACATTTTCAATAGGAGGAAAATTAACTATACTGGCTCCAGGTTTGTGTAATTAACAGGTTGTATTCTGAGGCCTCATCCAAGGTCACCTTTACTGCTTCAGGGCCTACTGCTGATGGAAACATCACTGGAGCTTTTACTCCCACAGAGCTTTCTGCAGATATCCTGGGTGTCTCTGGGCCCCTGTGCTACTACACTAGCAGAACTCTTCTGCCAGCAGAGGGGCACTTCCCAATTCTAACTGTATTGTACTGCCTATCTGGATCCAATCCACTGGATCTGAAAAGCAATTTAGCTGCCTATTCTGTACCAAGACATCTAATTAACATTATAAATGACAAAAACAGTTAGCTCTTGAGTGATGTGCAGTGTTTTTGGGCAGCAGTAGATTGGTGAAGCCTACAGAGCCCCAGTGACGGTGGCTTTCCAGGAGGTGAGGATGATTGGCCTTTCCACCCAGTTTGGTGTCATTGCAACTCTCACTAGCATGCCCTGCACCACTCTTCAATTCGTTGGCAAAAGTGGAAGAGCACTGGGTCCGGGACAGAGCCCTGCGGCACCCACTCACTGTCCCTCCCTGGCTTGAGAGGCTCCCCTTGAGGAGCGCTCTGTGTGTTCCACTCTGCAGCCAGCTGTGGATCCGCCCAAGAGCTGCCTCTCATGCCCAATTTTTGCTAGTCTGCTGGTCAGAATGTGATGTTGCACTCTGTGAAGAGCCAGACTGAAGGCACGCACTGTGACGTCCACAGCATCCCCACAGTCCATAAGGGAGGTTATTTAAAAATTGGGATCAGATTACATTTGTTCTCGAGAACTCCATGCTGGCAATGCCTAATTGCTGCACCGTCTTCCAGGTGCTTACAGGGCAACTACTCCTCATCTCTTCCAGGATTTTCCCAGGATTGCTGTCAGGCTGACAGGTCTGAGGCTCCCAGGATTCTCCTTGCTCCTTCTGAAGGAGGGGGCAAGAGGAGTCCTCCTGGCATCATCTGGCACTTGGCCCATCCCCATAATTTCCTCAAGACAATAGACAGCACTTCTGGGTGTATTTCTGCCAGTTCCTGCATTACGCTAGGATGGAGTTCATCATCGAATCTGTTCAAAGGAATGAGGTGTTACTTGACCGTGTCTTCATGAATCTCAGGTTTCAATCTGTCTCCTCAGTTTGGACTCCATTTTGGGGTATGGGGTGTGGGCGTCATAGCCCTGCGTTTGGAAGGAGAAGAAGCAGAAGAAGCAACTGAGCACTTCAGCCTTTCCTTTGTCCTCTGTTATCAGTTCACTGAGCCAGAATTTTCTTTCTTGGTTTTTACTTTGCCACATACCTGAAAAAGCTTTTGGGGTTCTTTGTTAGCATCGCTTGCTAGCCTCAGCTCATTCTCAGCTTTATTTATCCTTCCTGATGTCATTCTTGCATTTGTCTGCTACCTGCCTGTATTTTCCTTCAGTAGTCTGACCTTCCTTCCACTTCCTGTCTGGCTTTTGGACACTCAAAACTTTTTGTGGAACCGCATTTGTTTCTCCTGTTGCCTACTGTTTTACTTTTTCTGTTACAATTGTTTCTTTGTGTTTTTAAATTTAGGTTTTTAGGACCAACCCCATGCAACTCAGCCTGCACTTGCCACAGGACCTTATTATGATTGTCCTGAATTTACTGAAATCCGCTTTCCCAAGAGCTGGAGAATAATGTGCATGATCCCACTCAGGAGTTGCTTCCTTGAAAATCAGGCATTCACCTTGTCATGATCACCTAGAGCTCCTGTAACTTCCCGTGACATCCACGCTATCCACTAAGGCATCCCCATGACTCAGGATTGCGTCAAGCAGACCCAATCCTCTGATTATCATGTTCCTTTGGTCCTTGGCACCTTTCATTTGCCCCATATGCTCTCCTTGCGGCTGCCAGGCTCATCTTCCTGCATTTCAGTGCAGGGATGAGGGCTTTGAACACAGAATGCAACTCCACACCCTTTCTGGTCTGCTCTTTTCGAAGAAGTCTGTGGTTTAATCCTGGACGGTTGACCCCAACCGTGTTTCACCAATCCCTATCAGGTTGCATTTTCCTTCATGGGCAAACAGCTCAAGTTCACTCTGTTAGTTTCCCCCATTCTGGCCATCAGTGTATAGATGCCGAAGACTGTATGCTTTATGGCCTGACACTTTTGGGGTCCTAGTGGAATTACGGTGCAGAAGCCATCATCTACTACTGCCTTTGCATTCTTGTGTGCCTCTCTGGAATAGGAGAAAGAGCTACGGCCTTTGGCAATCCTTCGGTCGTACCTCTTATCTGAGCTCTAGGGCAACACACTCGTGCTTCCATCCCTTGCAGCACGGGGTCCCCCACAATGCCCACGCTCCTTTTCTTCTGAGTCGACTGGCCTCCTGTGTCTGGCTCCCCGTCATCCTGCTTCCCTTGTACTTCCTGCTTGGCAGGCTGTCCTCCAGCCTCACTGTCCAGGGGCAGAAGGCATTTGCTTAGCTCTGGTGGCTCCACTCATGCAGGGCGTCCTCTGATCCTTCAGCTCCAAACTGATACCCTTCCCCTCTTCATTGGCTTTCCGCAACTCCGCCTCCTCCACAGCTGCTTCATGTGCTCACCTTGCTTCTCTGGTGCTTCCCACTGTTCCTGCAGTTCTGCCATTCTGCCCAGGGTCTCTTCACCTTCTCCTGTCCACTGAAGGTGGACACGCACCACGCAAGCCCTCGCACTTTTTCTCCCAGTTGTGCAGCCAGCTTGCACTTGTTTCGGTGTGCTGTGTGTCAGTCTCAGGCAGAGACACAGCGTTTGCCAGTCTCCACTGCTGGAGACTCTTTGCCACCCGTTTTGTGGTACAGAACGAGCAGTGCCCAGGGAAGGCAGGCTTGCCGAGGGATGCGCTCCGTCGGGGGCGTGGGCTGCGTGCCTGAGCAAGGCAGTCACAGTCCGGCCCCCGCCACTCACGGTGACCTCCTCTCCCTTCCCAGAGGCTCTCGGGCGTGTGTGGACCATCAGCACCAGATCTGAGCTGGGCTGCTGTCCGGAGTCCATCACTCACAGTCCAGCCCTGCTCAGAGAACCTTCACTCTGCTTGGGGACAGGGAGGGCCGTGAACTTTCTGAGATGCTTTCTCTGGCGCCTCCTTGAGGGACGGTGAGACTTGTGGTGCTGGCACACTCAGCGCCTGGAGGGGGGTTCGCAGGCTGCACTGGACTAGAGTTGCTCTTTTCCAGACTGTCCCCCAGGCAAAATCAGTGCTCCGTCCAGATGGAGGGCTCCTAGTGCAATCAGATGGCTTCTTTGTGCCATCATCCAGCTGCATGAAAGGACTTTTTGGAGAATGGGGGACCCGGATACTTTAGGGTCCACTGGACTGCCCCAAATTTCCTTGGATGCTGCTCTCATCAGGAGACACCCTCCTTGGGATGCCCCTGAGTTGGCACAGTTGGCTCATTATGGCAACATAATTCTCATATAACGCAGGTCCTCTACTAGTTTCACTGGCTCCCAATTGAAGTCCAGGCCCAATTAAAGGCTCTGGTACTAACCTATAAAGCCCAAAACAGCTTGGGCCCAGGATATCTGAGGGAATGGCTCCTCCCCTATAGGCCCCCACACCCATTAAGGTTGGCAGGGGAGGCCTTGCTTCAGGAACCCTCTTTGAAGGGTTTCTACCCAGAGGAGGGGCTTCTCTGCAGTGGTGCCCAGACTTATGGAATATGATCCCCAGAGAGGCCCGCCTGGCGCTGAGTCTCTACTCTTTCCAGCACCAGGTAAAGACCTTTTTATTTAACCACTATTTTAATAATAAATATCAATAATTTTAATAATGATAATTTTACACAGTCGCATTTTCTTTTTCTTTTTCTTTTTTCTTTAGTTATCAATTGTTGTTTATGCTGTATTATTATTAAATGTTTAATTGTATTTTATATTGCTATTTTTATCTTTTGTAAGCCGTCCTGAGGCTTGTTGCAAAGGATGGCATAGAAATGTTTTAATTAAATTAAGTTAAACAGGGCCTGCAGGGCTCTGGAACTGCCTCCCACTGCAAGTTCTTCTGGCACCAACCATTCTTCGCTTTTGGCACCTACCAGAAGCAGGGCTTTTCCAGAGGCATTCCAGGCAGGGAATTTCTGTGCACGGTTTAGAAAGGCCTTTAACTGAAGCTATTCGTATGTCAGATAAGGAGATGCAGTGCAAGGGGAAGCAGCGTATGCAGCAGTTTTAAAGGAAGCAGCCTGCAGCTGCCCATCAAGCACTAATGCTTTAAGACGCACCAGTATGCTGGAGCCTACGTTTTGTTGCCAAGTCCCCCATTTTGGAGTTCTCCAACTTTCCAGGGATTTTGCCTCCCTGCCTCTGCACTCCATAGAGGCCCCATTGAGATGGGGAGGGAAGGACGCCGGGGACGGCGCTGAACAACTGTGTCCTGGCCTCTTTCTTCTGTTTACGTAGCACCGCCACCCCAAGTGAAGGGACAATGCAGTCTTCTCCGCTTGCCGGCCCACGCAGATCTCACAGTTCCATCCCTCCCAGCAGCATGAGCTCGTGGGAGGCTGTCTGAGGTGGCCCACACATGCGGCCAAGCATGATGGAAACAGCCAGGCATCCCAGTGTTGCTC